CAGAAGGTTCTTTCTTTTTTTTTAATTGTACTGAAAATACAATTCGTGCAATGATGTTTTTAGATGTAAGTTACATATTTAAAAAAACTTATATTCATCAGGGGCGGACTGGTAGTCGAAAAGTTAGGAGGATACCTAAACGTAAGGGCCCCTCCTGTCGTTCGGGGGCCCCTCTAAGAAGGTCCGGGGGCCCTCCCCCGGTAAATTTTGAAAATTCCACACTTTTTAAACACGTAGGCATTATTGGAGGTGGATTCTACAGTACTTGAACTTCAAAATAACCCATTCTCAGGACTCACCTTGGGTCCCTTCATCACAAATGCTTTTGGCGACCTTCCATATCTCTTAGGGACAAATTTTCAAGGAATTCGGGGCCTTTTACTGATTGAAATGGATAAAAAAATTACAACATTACGGGAAAAAAAACTATGACTCGAAAAAATTCGCCACAGGGGCCCCTTCGGGACCTCCGCGGCAAATTGTTAGGGGGCGATCGCCTCCCCGCCCTATGGCCAGTCCGCCCCTGGCGGCACAGGAAAGCCAAAAAACCAAGCGGGGACGCTACCTCAATATTAAACTTCCATCGCCTTGCTAAGGCGCAAGGATACAACTATTTGAACTCTCCGGAACGCGTGAGGTATTACGCCTCAATTAAAGGTGTTTTCGAATCTTCTGTATTTACATGACGAGATTTTCCAAATTGTTTTGCATTATATTGTGAATTTGAGTTCCTTTCATGATTTGGTTAAATTATTCCTGCTTCTTAAATTTTTATTATTCTGGTAAAATTTTCTTTTTTCGAAAAACAATCCTGGTTTTCGCGCCGTTACACTGCGGCCTGAACGGTCGAGACTGCAGTGGCGGCACAGGAATGCCGTAAAACCAAACCGGGACGCTGCTTCACTATTAAACTTCCATCGCCTTGCTAAGGCGCAGGGCTACAACTATTTGAACACTTCGGAACGCGTTAGGTATCACGCCCCAATTGAAGGCGTTTTTGAATATTCTGTATTACGTGACGAGACATTTTGTTTGCATTATATTGTGGATTTGAGTTCCTTTTATTGAATAGTTAAATTATTCCTGACTCTTAATTTCTAATTATTATGAAGAAATTATCTTTTTGCGAAATACAATCCCGGCTTTAGCTCCCTTAAACTCCAGCCTTAACGGTCAAAACTGCATTAGTGGCACAGGAAAGGCGAAAAACCAAACAAGGACGCTACTTCAATATTAAAAATTCATCGCCTTGCCAAGGCGCAGGGATACAACTATTTGGACTCTCCGGAACGCGTGAGGTATCACGCTTCAGTTGAAGGCGTTTTAAAATCTTCTGTATTTACATGACGGAATTTTCAAAATTTTGTTGCATTTTTTCGTAGCTTTGAGTTCCTTTGGTTATTTAGTTAATTTATTCCTGCTTCTTAATTTTTAATTATTCTGCAACAATTATCATTTTGCGGAATACAATCCTGGCTTTAGCGCCTTTAAACTACGGCCTGAACGGTCGAAACTGCAGTAGCGGCACAGGAAAGCGAAAAAACCAAGCCGGGAAGCTGATTCAATATTAAGCTTCCATCCCCTTGCGAAGGCGCAGGGATGCAACTTTTTGAACACTTCGGAACGCGTGAGGTATCATGCCTCAATTGAAGGCGTTTTCGAATCTTCTGTATTACGTGACGAGACATTCCAAATTTGTTTGCATTATATTGTTGATTTGAGTTCCTTTTATTAATTAGTTAAATTATTCCTGACTCTTTAGGTTTAATTATTATGCAAAAATTTTCTTTTTGCGAAATACAATCCTGGCTTTAGCTCCCTTAAACTCCAGCCTTAACGGTCGAAACTGGAGTAGCGGCACAGGAAAGCCGGAAACCGAAACGGGGACGCTACTTCAATATTAAGCTTCCATCGCCTGTCTAAGGCGCAGGGATACAACTATTTGAACTCCCCGGAACGCGTGAGGTATCACGCTTCAATTGAAGGCGTTTACGGATCTTCTGTATTTACATGACGAGATTTTCCAAATTTTTTTTTGCATAAAATTGTAGATTTGAGTTCCTTTTGTTATTTAGTTAAATTATTCCTGCTTCTTAATTTTTAATTATTCTGCAACAATTATCTTTTTGCGGAATACAATCCTGGCTTTAGCGCCCTTAAACTACGGCCTTAACGGTCAAAACTGCAGTAGCGGCACCCTAGAATAATGCCGACATAACAAAAAACGGGTATTTACAAATACACCTTGCTCAATTGAACTATTTATGCTAAAGGGAACTATGTTTCACGCAAATCCTATGCACATAGTTCCTTTCAGCATAAATACGTCCAATTAAGAAATCATTTCACAGCAAAAAAGAGGACGCGGCGGATTTGACGTGTCTTGCAGGATGCTGAGATTCAAAGAAGTCAGGGTGCCTGCATTAGTTTGAATATGCAACTTAGATATCCATGAAGCCGGAATAGTTGCATTAAGGCGTTTCTATCATTTAGACTAAATTTTGCAATATGGAAGTATTGTTCCGACTCATTTACAAGGGCACGTATCTTCGTAAAGTTATCAGCCACACAAATTTTTAGATTCTGCAGAGAGATTCGTCTGATCTTGGCTCCTGCTCACGAATTACGTTTCACTCCAGGGCATTCACAATGAAACCAAACATAAAGATTCGAATTAAACACAGAGAAATAAACAGAGCCCAACACATTTTGGAAACTGAGTAGTAAGGGTTTTTATTCGAAAAAATCGGAAATAAAGTCGAAAGAAAAATAATGTAGTTATGGAAATAACTGTTGAACTTTATCTTAAATATTGTTTCCTACGGAGGAATAAAAATTCAAGTCTCTCCTCCTTGGCACGATCACTCGATCTTGATAGGACTTCAGTTGTTTCTATTAAACTCGGTCAAAATGAGTGAAAACCCGCGAAACATTTATTCATTTTTGCACTAGAGGCCTTCTCATGGGGTCGTCATTTTTAGGGACATCTACGATTTTGTTTCGTCGATTTTTCTTCTTTTTATCTTCTTCTTCTTCTTCAATGGCAAGGCGAGGGATTGAAAGCAAAATGCGCCGCTATGCAATACTTGAATGTCTCCTTCAACAAAAATCACAAACGATTTTTCCTCGTTTACGGAGGGGGGAGGGGGGGGGTCGGATCAGCCCTCGTACATTGATATAATGCATCAGTTTCCTCCTTTATAATGCGTTTTTAATGGTCTCCAATGATCAGCTACTCAGTGAAATGATAAGACAAGATTTTTGTACTGATTCCGACCGAAAACATCCTCCAGATATCTCCAGTGTTTATTGTTGATTTTTTTTCGTGCTTATAATGGGCTGGATTTTGCCTCTTCTTCGTCAGAAAAATCAGGTAATCTTAATTTTGACCACTTATTTAATCGTCCTCCTCCTGTTGTCTCCCGTATCTTGCATTGGTACATTTTTCACATTTTGAATGGAAGGACCATTAGTAAAAAAGCCTTGAACAGATGTCAAATGAACCAATTAAGTCTCTGTAAAGTATGTCGTTCTTTCAAATTATATTTAACGGAATTAATCAATGCAGTTGCAATATTTTGACGCCTTGAACGTGGTTGATAAGGAACTATATGAGCCAGACTGAAACTGAGCTTCATTCAATTATAATTGGACGTATTTCTGCCGAACTGAACTATGTGCATTAACACATGAGCCCTGTGACCCATAAAGATATAAGCGTAACAAGGCTCACGCCATAATGCACATAGTTCCGTTTGGCAGAAATACGTCCAATTGAAGTACTGGGTGCAGAGAGGGCATTTCTTGATTGCGGTGTCTCAAAATCTCCTGTGAGGTCTCATCTTTTATGATTAAAGCAAATGCATGTAGTTCATTGTGACTTTAACTAAATATTCTAAATGATTTTACAATGCCGAAAACGTAGAATTTCAGAAAATACACTCAATAGATTCCTCTCTAAAATAAAAATTAGCACTGGAGACTGATGATCTTTAGATTCTAGCAACCACAAAATGCCCTTTTAGCATACATCGTCTCAATGGCGACTGCTATTTGCGAAAAAAATGAAATAAATAGCTTCATTGTCAAAGTATAAGGTTATAATTGGGGTGCAATCTTCTTTCTCAATAATGATAATCTGAGTTGTTTGAGTACTTGGCGAAAGCTTGGCACGGTGTTTTGTTAAGATATCTTAAGAATTAGATATTTTAATTTTACTCACCTCATAAAGTAATAGTGAGACTTAAAAAACGACTACCTCAGTTGGACGGAACTATAACACGCTGGAACTACACGAAAATTGTGCAACTATCAGTCTCATTCAGAGAATTAAAATACGGTCATAAAGTGGCAAGACGGAGAACACGACTGTAGAACAGGGCCCCATAATGGCAACACCTAAATTATGGGTGTAGTAGGAATTGGCAATAGCTGATGTAGCTTGGTTCCTTTCTGCTTAACGCAGTCCATACAGCAGTAAAAAATTCGAAGTATTTTTAATGATAGTCTGACGAAAATGTCGAAAAAATGAGAATGCTACATTTTGGATTTTGCGTATTTTTTACCAATAGAAAAGGTTACGTAACGCTGGCACTGACTAGTGACCACCCTGTCATTATAACGCAGCGTAACGCAGGTCCACCCTACCGTGTTGAGGAAGAACGTCGTATGAACACTCGAGGGTTGCCAAATTTTCCTTCATAAGAAATGTATTTTTCACAACATTCATACATATATTTCCTCGAAATTTTTAGATATTTTAGATTAAATTGCTTACAAAATTGCCTGAAAATTTTGGAAAATAATATTCAGAATTTTCCCGATAATATCGGTTTTTATTGGAGGACACTTAGCAACGTCTGAAGGCTCATACGGCGTTCTTCCTTAGCTCGGCAGCATACCTGCATACCCCCTCCTCCCCTGGAGCGTTACGTATATTATGAACGCTCCCTAAAGGATATTTTTCGGTGTGATGAAATAATGATATTTCCTTTGAGCAGATCATGAAAATCGGAGTCTACCTATTGGCAATGATTACTGTTGCGGTTTGCGCTCCTCATGATTCCAGCGAAACAGTCCGACAAAAAAGAGGCGTTGATCTCCGACAGGGTGTAGCAGTGGCGTATCCTTCGGGATATGGCTACCCCGGCTACTACCCTTCTCGACCTGGTGAGAGACCATCTTGACTTTATTTCAAAAATATTCTGATAGAGAGTCTCGTCCATTTAAATGTAGTAGGGGACTACACCCTTTGACCACTTCGTGGTTTAACCCCCCCCCCCCCCCCCCCCCGAAGCGCTTCGTGTGCGGTATTATGAACGCGCGTTGCGCGTTACTCTCATGAATTTATATTATTTTAAATGTATATATTTGAAACAAATCGCTATTTATCAAAATTGGCTTTCTAACCTACGGGCCATCGTTGATTGTTCTCAAATGATCCTGATCAATGGACCCCTATCTTAGCAACGCCTTTTATCCATCAAGGGCATTCGATATCGATTCAACAATCGAGTCGCAAAAGTTGAGTGTTTATAGCGGATTCCAAATAGGGAATTTGTATATTGCCAACTTGCAAGGATTGCCACTGCGCACGTCCACAGTTGAAATTAATATTACAAGACATAGACAAAGATCTTAACCGATTTTAACCGGTGTTGGACAGTCATAGATACAATTTTTAAAATCCGCCAAATTTCTTCCATGAGAAAGGTCGGAAAAGAGGGCAGATCCTTAAATACGAAAATAGGCCCAAAACGAAAAAAGGACAGCATGAAGAGCTTAGAGGACAAGGCGCAATGAGTGCGCAGTTTTGACCATTCCGAGGAATCCGCGTTTGAATTTTCGAAATTACATGGATCCTAATGGCGGCAAGAAAGTTCAAACTGACTTTTTGATACCTATAAATTGGAATTTAAAGGCGAATTTTTTACAGAATATGCGTTAAGACTAGTTTTTTTACTTGAAATCATTAACATCTCAATTCTTTTAAAACTGCACTCACGCTCCTTGTCCTCCAAGTCCCTCAAAGGAGGTCTGTGATAATCAAATACTGTTTCAGGAGCTGCTGTTCCAAGTAACATAATTTTTATGTATATGATTACATTCCGTGAATAATTTTGATGTCTAAAAATTGGAATTTGGGTGCGAATTTTTCACAGAATCATGACTAGTTTTACTTCAAACCATTAATGTCTCAATTTTTTCAAAAACCACACTCATGCTCCTTGTCCTCCAAGTCCCTCAAAGGAGGTCTGTGATAATCAAATACTGTTCTATAGGAGTTGCTGTTCCAATTAACATAACTTCCATGTATATAATTATATTTCATGTATAATTTTGATGCTTGAAAATTGGATTTAGGAGCAAATTTTTCACAGAGTATGCATCAAGACTAGTTTTACCTGAAATCATTAACATCTCAATTTTTTCAAAAACCACACAAATGCGCCTTGTCCTTGAAACCCTTCAAATCATCATCATTATATTTGTTGCAGTCGTGGGTGTCTACACTCGTGCCGATCGGGCTCCGTTCCTTCCCTTTTTATTAGGCATTGGACTCGTTGAGGTAGGCGCATTACTCGGCAGTAGTGGATTGGGTGGTATACTACTTGGCGGAGGAGCCCTCTTAATCAACGGATTGAGCGGTGTGATTAGCAGTCTCGGTAACACAATAGGCGGACTATCGCCATCAGGTGAACGACTGTATCAGAACTTTTAATTTTTCACAGTCACAGTACATGACAATTATATTTAAAAGTTGTGTTATATTAATAAAAATTTCTTTGAAACACTTTATTTTGAGAGAATTTTAGCTCATAAAATCATCCTCATACACAAGCAAAGGCGGTTACAGCTTACTACATGAGCACAGGGTCGGACAGCCTCGCATCTGGGGGCGTAGACCTTTGGCTGGTCAAAGGGGCGTAATGGGATATTTCCTGGTAGGGCATCCCTTTCGTGGAGAGGGGCTCAGAAAATCGTGGCAAAGCAGCACAAGTTTACGCTATCTTCAGGTACCAAGTTTATTAATCGTACTGAGTAAGAATTGCAAAATTGAACGTAGTGAAGTAACCGTCAGACTTCTGAAATAAAAGAAAACATATACAATTTTAGCTACTAGACGAATCCAAGCACCATTATTTCCAAAAGAACCGAGCCAGCGCTGCGGTTTACACGAGCTTAATACGTGGGTCTGAAAATCCACCCTAAAAAAGAATCAGACAAGAACCTGAAACAAGAAGAAAGATCGAGTATCAACACAGCCGAAGACAGGATTGACGTATTCGGGCCTCTTTCTTAACTTTTCTGCCGAATCCGAGCGACAACTCCTTGACAGTGGAAAGCAGAGCATTGAGAGCTCACGCTTCGCGTCATTTCGCCTTCAATTTTTCGGATGCAGCACGGACGTCCATTGAGTACGAATAGTTGTATCTCTGCGCCGTCGTAAACGCGCATCCTCTCTCTCCCTCTATTTCCATATCGTGTTTGTCTCCGTTTGTCCTATTCGTAATTGTGCTTCAAGCACTACTTGAGTAACACAGCCGAAGGTAGGAGAGATGTGTTCGGGCCTCTTTTTTAACTTTTCTACCGAATCTGAACGAAACCTCATTGACAACATACAGCAAAGCATTGAGAGCTCATGTTTCGCGTCATCGCGCCTTCAATTTTTCAGATGCAGCGCGGACGTCCATCAAGTACGAATAGTTGTATCTCTGCGCCGTCGTTAACGCTCATCCTTTCCCCAGCTTTATTTCCATATTTTGTTTGATTCAAATTGTCCTATTTGTATTAGCAGCGGTGCTTTAAAGGCTGCACGAGCAACACAGCTGTAAGTAGGAGAGCCGTAATAATCGAGCCTCGTTTCTTAAGGTACGGCAATTAAGACGCGGAATGCCGCCGCGGAATCGTACGCGGCGGACGCAAGGGAAATCTGTTACACGCGTTTCAATGGGAGCGGCAACTAAGGAGCGGAGCGACGCCGCGGCGTCCGCGGCGTCACGGCGCTCCGATCTGTCGAGAACAGATCGGAGCGGAATCCCTCGGAGATTCCGCCTCGTCCGCCGAGGTTTTCGATGATTTTTCATGTCTATGTGCCGAAACGTGGATCGCGGTGGAGAAACCAATGGAAGATTGCGGGCCATCGTGACTTATTAGATTCATGAAAGAAAACATTTTTTCAGCACGATATCAACGCATGGCAATCCTACCTCGTGCCAGGTGCAAATAATACCACACATATAGGTAAAAGAAACATGACACCTTTTTTCCAGTAAATAAATCTATAAAAACAAAACGGAATAACTATTTTATGGCTTTTTGGCATCTGAACAATTTATTTATACGTTGCTATATATCTATAGAGAAACCTGATCGACCAATCTTTTTTTGAACATCATGGCTGAAAGTAAAAACATGGGTGTCTTTGCTTGCAATGTTGCAACTCTCTGCTCAAGCTTTATTCGTTAATTTGAAACTATTGATAGGGAGCTTATCTTGGACTTTTTGTAAACATGTTATTGCTGTATGTTGGAGTTTTTTGCCAACGTGCGTTAAAAATTGTTTTGCTCATTCAAAAATACTTTTAGAAATTTTACAAATGGATATTTTGACTGGTATTCTCGTGAAAAATATTGGAGCTTTTGTAAAGTGGTGAATGTTCATTATAGTAAGGCACAACACACCTACACTCGTGAGTTATCATCGGATACTGACGACGAGACTGCCGACGGACGCTGCGGAATTTTGGAGGCGATTCCGCTGCTTAGTTGCCGGGCACGGCGGAGCGGAAACAAACTCGACGCCTTGCTCGCTCGGGTCGTCCGCCGCGTCAGATTCCGCGGCGGCATTCCGCGTCTTAATTGCCGTACCTTAACTTTTCTCACGACACCCAATGAGGCGTTAATGGGCAGCATAAAACGGAGCTGCGGAACAACGTAAATTCACAGCTCACGCCATCGCGCCTTCAATTTTGCAGATGCAACGCAGACATCCATCAAGCACGAATAGTTGAATCGCGTTTACACTTTAGATGTCTCTTATCTTTACATTCCGAGATAAATTAAGGTTAAGTTTGCCCGAGATATGCTATGTTATGTCCAAATTAATAGTCATTTTGATAAGGAAGAAATATATTTAAGAAAGGCGACACACACACCAGAAAGAAAGAAGAAAACAAAAACAATAAAAAAAGAAAAAAGGAAAAGAATGCTTTTGATCAATGCATCCTCAGAGCCGCACGACTATTCTATCATGCTAAGGATAAACACCATACGAGTATTTATATGTTGCCAAATTTTCTTCAATAAAGACCGAAAACAGCGAAAAAACTGTAATTATTTTTCTTGGACATTGAAAAATTCTAGGGAAAAATGTGCATTACTTCTTTCAAAAGTAACTTTTTTATCAAGGAAGGTTTGGCAACATATCAAAATTTATACGGCGTTATAGTCCTTGACATTGCGATTGCAGTATTGCATTCACCGGAAGTAGCGTACATATTTTACACAGTTTGATAACTAGGTCAAAGATGTAGGTAATTTGTAGTACTCGACTCAAATTAATAATTCACGAAAAGCAGTCAATACAAATTACGAACCACGCGCGCTGAGAAAAATTGCACACGTCTGGAGATATAAACACGAGTCGAGTGTCGTTATTTTGCAAGGTGACGAAGTAACCGGAAAACCGCGCCTTGGAAAACCCAAAATGCAGCTTACCTCACATCTGTAGCACGTTACGCTGCCAGATGGGTCTGCGATAAATATAATATTTAAGTGCTGTACTATAATAAAACAGCTCTTAAATATGATTAAATATAACTTACAACTCGGTAATGATTTGAGAATCAAGCTCTGATTTTTAAAACGTATTAATCGAGCAAAACATTTAGACAAGAGAAAGAACAAAATTTAAAACTTGCAGAAGGGAATGTGTCGCCTCTCGATTAACACGATGGTTGACAGAGGCGTTGTTTCAGGCAAATCTGACGGGAGGGGGCATCGGCGGATCCAGACCCTTCGAACGGGTGGGGGCTAAGGGGGGTCCGAGGGCCTTCCCCAGAATATTTTGGAATTTCTTAGCATCTAATATGCAGTTTGAGTCAATACGTCCTGAAAAATTACGAAATATCAGTGTCTTTCCCTCTGCTTACCTACCATCCTTCCTACCTCTTCCTTCCTTCTCTTTGACTTTGCGAACGGGGGCGCCCTCCCCCTGGATCCGCTTTTCGGAGGAGCAAACAATATAAAGTGAGGGCAACATTTCCATGGAAAAGGCATGATTTTTCAAAAAATACCCTGGAATCGATCAATTTTAACACAAATTTCCCGGTAGAAAGCTACCTTAATCTAAGGTGGAGAGAAGAAAATCAGCCATCGCGGTATTGCATAGCGTGGTCTACTTCACCTCATTACTTTTGTCAATAATGCATTCACAGCTAAATGTGTGAATGCGTGCATTAAAATTCACGGTGGTTGAAATTATTGCATACACTACCATACGGAGGTGCTGACGGTCACCGTATTTTTAACATTTTTTTTTTAATTTTTCAAAGTTTATTTTTTTTTTTCATCAAAAAAAGAGCTTCATTCTAGCGCATAAAATTTTTATTTCTTAGAACAGATATTTCAGATAACTTAGAACATGCTTGCTCTCACGCTTTAAAAACGCACAGTGACAACGCTGCATCGCTAATTTGTATGCAAGTTGTTAATAGTCAAACTGACCCCTTGTATTATGGCTGAGGCGGGCATTTGGTTTTTCTCCGAGCAAGTTTTTCCCAAACCGATCGTAATTCGGTCAATTTATAAATCAATCACGTCTCTCTAGACTTCATTTATTGATGTGCTTCTGTGCGAATTGATAGTGTTGCATTACGTGAGGATACTTCCATACGATAAGGTAAGAAAAATCATCAATACTATATTTCAAAATTTAATAAAATTTTTAAATTTTGCTGGATGAACCGAGTGACCCGCCAGTTGGTGTTTATTTTATGATAATAAGGAAAAACTGGCCAAGTACAGTTAGTGTAAAAATTTCCTTGATTTATTTGTTCACAATATAATGTAAGGTTAAAAGCTCATTTATCCATTTTGTTTATCCTATTGCATGCTAGAGGGTATAAAACTAATTTGAAAAAAGATGGATTACTGCTTATTTGAATTTTTTTTTTTAAAAGTAAGTTCCAAAATTTACTCTTATTCATTTATCACTCAAAATTACATTAATATTTTTCTCTCCCCATTTATTAATATTTAAATAAGTACTACAAATCCACTCATTTCGGTTTAGGATGTTTTAAATTTTCTGTCGCATTTTACTATCCTGGAGGATGTTCGATCATCATTACTGTTTTTTTGCCCTTTGAACTTGGTCTGAGAGAACCGTAGGTATACAAAATGCCTAGAAACACCATTAAATAAGAAAGGAAATGAGGACGGACACTTACAAACACTAAAATTAGCACATGTGTTTTTGTAGTTTTACTGATGAAGCATCAAAAGGTTTGGCACTGAACAGCTTTATGTCATTTAGAATAAATTACTGGTCGTGATAACCAGCCTTTGATCACGACAGCAAGATTTGGCCAAATTTCTACTAGGATGCGTAATTAAATGTAAGACCCTCGATTCGAAGGTAGCAAATTCGGCTTATTGCTATATCTAATTATTATTAGTAGAACTTATTTCAAAATTATGTCTCGCCCTTAAGACAAAATTTTAAGCTCAATCGTTTCCCACCATATTCATCATACAAGTACACGATTATGGAACCTCTAGGATCACACTTGCCGA